TTTAAACAGTAACTGTAACGGAATACAGTTACTCATATTTTGTATTTTAAATACGTAACGGCGGTACATGTATTCCGTTACTCCCCAACACTGATCATTACTCCCTTAGCCCATAGAAATAACCCACACAACCTTACCCCCTCCTAATAATAACATTTTATTGACTTTTTTTTTTTAATTGACATTTCCCCTGCATCAACCATTGTTCCACTCGATATAGCACTAATACTAGGTGCTAAATATTAACTATACTGTCCTATTAACCAAGTCAGTATAGGTATATTCTTTCAAACACTGTCACTGTATTTTAAACTTTCTCCTTATCCTTTTATATTGTATGCTCACCCTGATCTCTTTTTCAGTGAGTTTGTACTCTTCCATCTTTGGGGTGCTGCAGCTACTTTGCCTGATGACCACCCCTGTGATTGGTCAGATTATGGACTGGAAGCTGAAGGACTGTGATGACGGACAGGAAGACAAGGAACCCTTAAACAAGTATGTCAAATATTAGTAATCCTTTGCAATGCAGGACAAACCCACTTTGTTAAATTCTCAACATTTCTAGACACAGAATGTGATTAATATAGCCAAAAAAAAAAGGTTATTGTGACATCAGTGACTGAAAAATGACCTCTCCTTCTTTCTGTTTCAAACCTGAAGAGGAGAAACAAAGACCAAGCGCAGAGACAGAAAGATTCAGAAGGTGACCAATGCACTGCGAGCATTCTTGCTCACAAACTTGCTTTTGGTTGGATTTGGGATTACGTGCTTAGTGCCTAATCTCCCCCTGCAGGTGAGTAGTCCGGCTTGAGTTTACCATCATTTTTCACACTTAACACTAGATGTAAATTGCAATCTCCGTTGACTGCAGTTTATACTACACTGCACAGTACAGTTAGACTTTTAGGTGTTTATGTTTACTTTCTTGCAAAACAAAGTGAAAACAAAACACTTTTACTGTTTTGCTTAGCTTAGCAGAAATTCTAGAAATAGATGGAAAAGTTATCCTGGCTTTATTTAAGAATGATAAAATCAAATTAGCAGCTATTTCATAGCTGCTAATTTGATTTTTAATAGCTGAGACCAGCTAGCCAAGATTAGCCATACTTAGTTGTTAGCTAAGTGTTAATAACTAAGACTAGCTAACAGCTAAGATTAACCAGTCTTAGCTGTTAGCTAAGTAAGAGTAAATAGATAAGATGATCTTCTGAAATGATAATGAATAATAATTTCTTATACTTTTATCTTCCCCTAGATTGTGTCATTTGTCTTACACACGGTTGTGAGAGGATTCATCCACTCTGCTGTTGGTGGCCTTTATGCTGCTGTGTAAGTCTCACACATGCATACACACACACACACACATATATTATCTTAGTGTTCTATATGTGGATGCAGCTTCACACTAAGACGCTAAAGATACCTCCCGTGTCTCGTGTGTCCTCAGGTATCCCTCGTCACTGTTTGGAAGTCTAACAGGGATGCAGTCTCTGGTCAGTGCTGTGTTTGCTCTGCTGCAGCAGCCACTGTTTTTGGCTATGATGGGACCACTGGGTGGAGATCCACTCTGGGTATGGATATGCATACACATGAACACAATCAGAGATTAGGCCCTCGGGCGTGGCTAATTCTTGTACTGTGCTCCAGGTCAATGTTGGACTCCTTGTACTAAGCATGCTGGGCTTCTTGCTGCCTCTCTACCTGATCTGGTACCGACGGACTCTCTACAAAGAGCAGCAGCTGAAGGATGACAATGCTAAGATCTACATCAAAATCAACGGCTCTGAAATCCCAGAGGCCTTTGTCTAGAGAAAAGCAAACATAGGAAAACAAAAGAAGGGATGAAGAAGATTTTGAGAAACATGGGCAATCACGTGAACACAAGAAGCTGGTTGTAAAAGGAAAACTGAAATGTTAAATATCACAATGAAACATAATGTTTTTGTACTTCTCTATACATTACACAAACCAACGGACTTATATGCCCATTTTCCAAATGCTACAAAGATAAATAAACCTAAGGGTATAAACACAGAGGGCGAAAAGAAGAACAAGAGAGAGAAAAGACTATGAAAGGAAAGAGGCAACAGCCTCTGTATTCCCCCAAATCCTCCTCTGACATCTTTTTGTATCCCCTCCCCAATGAGCCGCACGCTAGTGCAGCTCACTCCTAAGACTGCTTTCAGTATTTCTCCCACGACCATAAAAAAGATGATTCTTCCTCTGTGAAGCCCACATGTCATTCAGAAAATCAGAATCTGTTTTTCTTTTCTTTTGTTTTTGTCATACTTTGACTTAAAATCAGCAAAGTACCACCTTTCTGTTCACCTGCTGGATTTTTGCTGTACAGTAGATTTTGATTCAGTGCTGTTAAGGAGAAACAGAAAGGGGAGAAGAGCCTTTTTGCTGATGTTTCTCAAGCGAGTAGTAAAGACAGTCAGGACAGTAATTACAGAGGTGGATTCCTTTTTTCTTAAAGCTAACATCTGATTACAGTACAACTGTAGCTTAGCGCATCGTGTAGTATTGATGAATGTCAGTATTTTGAAGGTTGTAATCCATTAGGACATGAGCCACTCTGTGGTGTGTTTGTAGACTATTTATTTTACTCTTTGACTTTAGTTTTTCTATTTATAATTTAAATTTAGGGTGCATTTCGATGTCGAATCTAACTGAAGGTTCATCACACATATAAGTGAAAACAGCTTTTCACATTACCATTTACACATCGATGTCAATACAAATAAAAAAACGAGTAAATTACTTACAGTTCAGATGCCTTACCTTAAAGTCAGTATTTGGTCCAGTCTGTCCGCCTACTCTTGAGAGAAATACAGCACTTTTACCCTTCTTTCACACAAAAAAAAGCTCAGTTTGACAGTTCCCCTTCATCTCTTCAGCAATAGTTCTGCTTTGCCTTAAATTTTTCTGCCTTCTTATTTCTATTTATTTTATTTTACACTCAAATTTCTTGGCATATTTAAGTTGCTCTCTGCTGACAACTACTTCTGTGTCTAATTGTATACTGTGCTGTTGGCATAGAGCTCCTCCTGTCATGATGTAGGGATGTTTTGTTGTGCAAGTTTGTTTAATATGAAAAACTCTGCCGAGGTTAATAAAGACTCTTGCTTTTTTCACTTTTTATCAGACTGCACTCAGTGTCTGCATGTAATTCTCATCAAGTTGCAAAAGTGTTCTTTTCTACCTTGAAATCTGTTCCATCCACATTAAGGATGAGAAATTAAATGACCACAGTGGTCAATTTTGAGATTTTTTTCTGAGGCAATTTGTTTGGTTGGTTGGTTGGTTTGTGGAATCTTTAAATGCAAGATGAAAGTCATCTGATGAAGTACTTTCATCAGCACCTTTCATTAAACGTACAGCCTTGCAATCAATTGCTATTCCAGAAAATATTTATTGAGACTGGTTGGAGATTGGTTTTTGATTGTTCTGCAACCAGCCAGCAGGGGTCAGCATTAGGAGCATATTCCTGCACTGGAGCCAGCACCAGAAGAAGAAGGCTGGGTAGATTTCAGCTCATAGTCCTTATAAACCCTTAATTACAGTTATGTTGTATTAAATTTGGATATACAGCCCAAGATTTAAAAGTAAATAGACTATCTTAAATATTTAAACCAAATCAAAACATAGATACAGTTCCACAAAGCAGCTGACATAATTTAATGTTTTAAATAAGCCTTTGTGCAGAAAAGTGCTCAAACATTTCCAAACACTGAATAATTTTCACATCTTACTGAGAGGAGTTCTGAGCAGTTTTCTCACCAGATGTTCCCAGCATACTCTCACTAAATGTTTCCCTTAACCAGGCCTGGCAGCACGCTGCTCTGCCACCTGATACTACACTCTAGCAGATGGTTGTCACTTGACACCTCAGCTCCTCTCGTCACCTGCACGTCACTCACATCTGGGAACTCGGTGTAAAAAAGGCGTTTGACTCCCAGATAGATAGATAGATAGATAGATAGATAGATAGATATTACAGGAGGTAAAGGCAATCCCAAGATGACACAGGAATGAGTGGATGCTGGCAGACTGTTACAGATGCGCCGTAAATACAGACTCCATCGTTACATAATTTTAGACTCACACATTCGCAATCGCATCCCGATCTTCGGGATGAGGGACTGCATGGATTAGGGATCTGTAATGCCTTGCTTGAAACGTGTGGTCCGAACGCCTCCGGGGTCCTTGAGTGAATTACAGATCAGCCTGTAATTCATGTGAGTTGTCATCGAGTGGGTGTGGAAGAGGATAATCACATCAGATGCAAGGACTCTGTTGGAAAGGGTTTAGAGCTGACGCACCGTGCGTCTGTGCCAGCGGTGATCTCCGTGTCATACTCTGATGATGGTGAATAACTACGCTTCTACGTCATCGCTGTCACGATGACGTAGAGTGTTGCACACTCTTTAGAAAAACGGTTCAGGGAACCTCATTTTGCCCGAATGCCAACATGAGGGTTTTTCATTTTTGTTATTTGTTATTCGTTTTGTTTTTTCATTGCTATTATTATTGCATTTAATCTACAGTATATCTTCTTTTACCGTGTCTTATGCAATTCTTGATTGGATTTGTCATAATTTCATTAACTGCTTTGGGGTCTGCTGCCTTGGTTGCTAGCACAAAACACATTTTCACCCAATAAAGTCGAATATGTGTTATTTTACTCACACATACGTAACGACTCGCACCTGGTGAATTTCCGCTGTTTGTGCAGTGCGCACTTACAGGACAGGGAGGAGAGCCGAATAAAGACAGGTGTGAGGGGTGGGGCATGTTGTCTTCTGGGGACACCAGTCAAAACCCTACTCAGAGGTCAGTGGTGCTTTACTTGTTTGTGTGAATAAACTTGGCACGGATCCCGCGTGATGTTTGTTAATAATATTTGTTGAAAAAGTCTCTAAACGTTTAATGAGCGAGGTTTTATGTCTTTTAGTCCGCTTAAATTACCATGCAGCTGGTTTCCTGAGGGTTGACTAACTTCTGTGTTTTTTTGTTTCAAACACTACCCTATAATATGTTGGTGTCTGTGAGATGTGTTCTGTGGAGTTGTGGCTCTGTGGCACCACCGCAGACCACTCCCATGACGAACCATCGCTTTCTGTGTGTTGTGTTCTCTGCACAGGCCTCGGTGCTCTGCGCGTAACAGCAACGCCGCTCCGCGGCCCCGATCAGGAAGTGAATTTGAAGAAAATAAGCGACTGTGGAGGTAGAATGACATAGGGAGCGGGAGGTGGAAGAGAAGCAAGCGGAAAAAGAAGCGACTAACAGAGGGAAGAATCGACCCGGTTTCTGGACCTGTATTGGGCTGTTATCCCGGGATATACTGCACACAAAAAATGCTTATAAAGGAATAGTAAGTAGGTGTGTGTGCAAGTGAGAGAGTGTTCGAAAAGATAACGTGTGCGCGTTTTCCTGTCTCCCCCGTCTCCTTTCGCACCGCTGACATTGTGGCCAGTCGCCCGACCGGGGAATTGCAATAGTGCGGCCAGGGTGATGTCGAAAGCCCACACCTGCTCGGTGTCCGTGATCATTTTTCATGCATGCAACACTCTCGCCACCCTGAAGTATTCGCGGAATAAACTGAGAGGGAAATTTAGCGGCAGCTGTAGTTGCATCAGCAGCCGGCGTGGCTGTGCCCTTCACATCCTGCATCACAAGCCATCAGCTGAAATCGGGAGGCTTTCACTGTGGTGGCGAACAGAGTAATTCCCTCCGCTGTAATGCTAAAATGACGGATGCTCGAGATGAGCTGAGGGACAAATGGCTGGCGTAAGCCGCGTCGTGCCAGCGTCCATCCCTGTTAGCCGCTGTGGCCATGTTATTGATGCGCGGTGAAGGTGAAACGACCGATGAAGCATTCCAGCATTTGCATCTAGAGGAATGGAGACAGTGAGATGGAGAATGACCCAGGGTGGATGGTTGATTAAGGAGCAGGAGCGGTGGGAGTGGGCAGGTAGAGGAGGTGGGCGCAAAGCTTGGGGGAGAAAAGGGCAAACGGCGAGGTTTTAATGCACCAGTTAGATGTTACAGAATTTGGCTGCTGGGCCGAAAGGATGCAATGGCACACAGTGTGGTTTTGTGGCTTGAAATGGGAAAAAAATAAATTGAAAAATTGTTTGAATGCGTTTTTGCGGGCCTCTGTGTAACTGACTGAGGCCTGCTCACTCTTAGCTGGTGGTTAAAATAAGGGCAAGGCCGATGAATGGCAGATGAACTGGGATGATATTGTCCTTCAAATGGAGAAAATCCTGCACGTTTTAATCATCATTGTCACACAGACAGGATATTGTTCCTTTATTTCTTTGCTGGTGTCAGTGTGCAGTGTGTATATTAGGTTTTTTGTTCCAGGAAGCTGATGTTCACCTGTTTTAAAAAAAAAAAAAAAAGACACAAAAAAGAACGATGTGTGCTTTCTTTGAGTGTTCTGTGTTTTAGTAGTTTCAATGATATGCATCTCCTTTTAAATAAAAAAAAAATCCAAATACATTTGGGCTTTTTTCATATTTTTTATTATAAACATGTTTGTTGCAATTTTGTGGCAAGGTCAGACCTGAACTGTGTGGCAGAAATATCTAAAAAAAAAATTCTGATCAGAGTCTCTCGGTCAGTGGTTATTGTCTTGATTTGCCATCACATCGCTCTGCATTTAATCAATAAATGGCCCAGCACAAAAAGCACAGGATCAGAGTGATGGCATCCTAAAGATCTGAAGTGATTAGGGAGACTCTGGGCCTCAGCAGCCAGCCTGGAAATTAATTAAATCAGTCACGATTAAATTCTAAATGTATTTACGCACTGTCAACACTCAAAGATGCTTGTACACGCACATCCACACACAGAGTTACGCACGCCAAGATACCATCATGAGGGTCAGGAGAAAAAGAACAGATCCATGTCCAGTTTCTGTAGACTCAGTGCTCCTCACCTGAACCACTGACCTACATCACTCATGATCTACTTTTCTTCAGCTTAAGCACTTTGGCAGGTGTACATGCATGTAGGACCTGCTTCTGATTTTAAAAACCTGATTTGATCAAAGGAATAGAAGCAGGAAAAAGAGGAAGACGGAGGGAAAAAAGATAAAGAGGAAAAGAAGAAAAGATGAGCAATGCAGGATGGGTGTTTGTTTTCTGAAGCAACAAAGTGACACCTGATCTTCCTGTCAAGACCATTAGACCAAGGAGACTTGCAGAGAGTAAGAGAAATATACACTCACCGGCCATTTTGTTAGGTACACATTGCTAGTACCAGGCTGGACGCCCTTTTTGCTGTTAGATCAAGGTGCTAGAAAATTTTCTCAGATATTTGGTCCATATGGACAAGCTAGCATCTAGGGAAAATCGATACATTAGAGCACTGCAATACTCAATACAGGGACACCAAATATTTATATTTTAATATGTTACAACACTCACAAAATACAGGAACATAACATTAGCCAAACAAACTTGCAATAAACCCACTCAACCAAAAAACCATCCAACACTGGACACTCCTAATTCAGAGCAAGCTAAAGACTCAGTCACACAAGTAAATATAAGACAGTAACCTCTTTGTGTCTATGAAAAAAATTAATGGCTGCTTGGTGATTGTATTGGATTTTTTAACATTCTGTGACCAATTGCAGCTTGTGGTAACTAAATGGTTATCCAGGTGTGTAAAGTGTTGCATGATTACATTTGATTGCAGAAGTTGCCTGATTGGAGGCAGCTTTTCCGCAAACAGTTGCGGTCTAACTTAGATTAACTGCAACCACTCTCAGAGAGATTGCTGAAGGTGTGCAAATAGTTGCTTTCTAAATTATAAATGCAGACAGATTTCCAGCATGTTGCCATCAGTCTGAATGTCAGTGAGTATAACTTCAGGGGAATCGACTCAACTGGATATCAGCTGGTTGTATTCTGGTTATTGTTTTTTAGATGAAGGCATGAAGGCTGCTGAGAGCAAATAGAGTCAGTTAAATGTGAATTTTTAAATATAAATATCAACAAATATGTTAACTTCTATTATTTATCACACCTAATTGCTGTATTGTCAGAATCAAATTGAATTTAGTTGCCAACTTGTCTCCATTCAATCTTTGACTGGTAGCAGACTGACTCCATCTTATGGTCGGTTTTAGTGACAGTGTTGATGTGCTTGACAATCTCATTTTTCAGAAAAACATAACTGAAGAGAGATAAGCTTATCTTACTGGATAAAACAGATGTTGACAAGGTTTAACTTTGTGGACATAATTTGCATTTAAAAAGGTGATAAATCATGGCATATGTTATTGGGATACTCAGCATATCGCAAAATGTTAAAAATCACAGTTATATCTTGTTGCAAGTGAAGTATTATGACAATATTGTACTATGGGGTTTCTGGTGAGTCCAGCCTGTAATAGCATCATACAGTTGCTGGAGATTTGTCAGATGGTCAGGTTGGCTGTGGTGTTTGAATAATGTTCAGATCGTACTCAAATGTGCTAATAAAACATCCCTCCAACATTACACCACTCGTTTGAAGCATTAGATGGATGGATCCATGCTATCATTTTGTTTACGCCAAATTCTGACCATCCCATCCAAATGTTGCAGCAGAAATTGAGATTCATTAGACCAGGCAACATTTTTCCAAGCTTATATTGTCCAATTTTGATTAGCCTATGTGAATTTTTCTTAATTTGAGCAGCTGTAGCCCTTTAGTATTAGACATGAGAGACAAATAACAAATGGTTATTTGAGTTAGTGTTGCCTTCCCATCAGCTCAAAG